CTAAAGAAACACAGTCCATTCATTTCAGCAATTAGGCATAGAGGAACTGTCTGCTCTAAGAGGCACAGGAATCCAGAGTTCAGTGAGATCGGGCCTTGATGATCCTGTAACCCAGTGAGGAAAGCAGAGAAGGCAAAACAGAATTCAGTCTCATGCAAGTGTGTAGAGGGGCAACGTACTGACAGTTCGACAGGCCCTACTCACCTGTGCCGATGTCCTACCTGAGCAAAACAGGCTGTCCCAGAGAAGAGCCCAGGAAAGCAACACAGATGCATCCTCAGGGTTACGCTTCCTGCCCTATGTCTTGTTACTCTGGCCACAACTCTCTCGATACAAACAAAGGGTTAGTGGTCTTTTAGTTGGTCTAAAGATGGCCAGATACTAATCAGAAACTCTGCCCCACAGCGTCTGTCCTTATTGTTCAGTGAGTGACAGGCACAGTACAGGCAGATCCTGCCAGATGGTTTGACTGTGTCACAGAGCAGACACCAGACGCCTAGACAGCAGTAGAAGAGACTGTGTGTGAAAAAGTACAGATGGGCCGGCCCGTGAATAGAATTACCAGGGTTACAGGAAGTAGATGCCTCCCAAGGAAGGCTGGGTAAGGCTTTTGACCCCACCATTGAACCACAAGAAGCACAGTTGTTCCTGGAGAGAACAATAGTTTCCTGGCTGATGACATGTGTTGTAGAATATTATTTTAAGTGTGTTACTTTTGTTTGTGTTGCATTTGTTTAACTCTGTGAAGCTGTGTTACTGTGCCTGTCTAAAACACCTGATGGTCTAATAAAGAGCTGAACAGCCAATAGCAAGGCAGGAGAAAGGACAAGTGGGGCTGGCAGGCAGGGAGAATATATAGAAGGAGAAATCTGAGAGGAAAGAGAAGGAGGAGGACTCTGGGGGCCAGCCACCCAGCTACACAGCCAGACATGGAATAAGAAGGAAAGAAAAAGTATACAGGAATAGAGAAAGGGAAAAGCCCAGAGACAAAAGGTAGACGGGATAATTTAAGTTTAGGAAAGCTGGCAAGCAACAAGTAAAGCTAAGGCTGGGCATTTATAATTAAAAATAAGACTCTGTGTGTGATTTATTTGGGAGCTGGGTGGCGGGTCCCCCAAAAGAGCAAAACCAAACATATTTTGTTTTCATTTCATCTTTATATAACCCAGGCTGGCCTAAAGCTCACACTCTCCCATTTTAGTCACTGGGATTAAGGGGAACCTAGCTGATATGATATTTCTTGGATGTCTTTATTTAGAATAAATCCCTAAATTTGTGGTGTGGTGTCCTAGAATTTCACACCTTCTAATGTCCCAAGAAACATAAAACACTGCAGTTGTTTGGCTTTGATTCTATTTGCAGAAGAGGATGCTCCATGGAGAGGGGTCAGGTGATCGCCAGAAAACAGACCAAAATGTTGCGTGCATGAGCATGGGCAACTTCCTTTCCAGAAGAGTTCACAGTAGAGAGCAGAAGCCACAGGTAAAGCTTGCAGCAAGCCCAGCCAACTAGCTCTTATAACTTAAATTTACCCATATTTTTGTTCATTATCTATGTTCTACCATGTGGCTTTTACCTCTCTCCCATTCTGCATGTCTGACTCCTCTGGCTGGTGTCTCTGCCTTTCTTCTTCCCAGAGTCCTCTCTGTCCCTGGAAGTCCTGCATAACCTCTTCCTGCCTAGCTGTTGGCTATTCAGCTCTTGATTAAACCAATCAGAAGGCACCTTGGCAAAGATCCATCTTCGCAGTGTGAACCAACATTCCACAACAGCCCACAGTCCCATTCACGCTTGTTGCTATCCCCTCTTCCTTTCCCATGGGGATCCCAGGGCCTGCCTGCGTGCATGTTCTCAGGAAAAGTGTGGAAACAGGCAGACAGGTAAACTCTCTAGTGCATCCACTAGGCTTGAAGGAAAGCAACCCCAGAAGATAGCTGTAGAAAGGATGGCTGCCAAGACCTTGAGTGTCAATGTGCCGATGGCTAACTGCCAGGATGGGAATGGTCACTTGATCTATTAAAAGTGAAGATTTCTGCTCTACCTCACATCAATTGTGTGACATGCATGGGGGGGAGGTGTAGGAATTTGAATTTCTGTAAGCATGCAGATTACTCTGGAAGCACTGCAAACCCCAAACTCCATCCCCACCCCCTCTCCCTGTCTTGGGCCCTGCTACTGCCAAATGTCAAGTCTGTGGTATTGAAGAAACAAAGGGAAGATCACTGGGGAGGAGGCTGCTAAGGAAGCAGCAGAGGGTGGACAGTGGAGAGGCCTGGCATGGCTTCTCTAAGAATTGCTGAGGGAGTGAAAGGAGAGGTCCTCTGTGAGGTGAAGCTGGAGAGCAGGGTGCACAGGACCACAGTAGGAACTGACTTGCTTAGCTTTAGTTGTCAACTTGGAACACCCTAGAGTCATCTGGGAGGCAAGCCGACACTGAGGGATCACCCCGATCAGATTGGAAGTGGACATGGCTGAGGTTGGAGGAGGTAGGGATTTCCTGATTGTTAATTGGAGTAGGAGGGTCCAGTCTACTGTGGGCAACATCATTCCCAGGCAGTTGGTCCTTGGTTGTAGAAGGGAGCCAGCAAGTAGTGTTCCTCCATGGCTTCTGCTTCAAGCTCCTGCTTGAGTTCCAGCTCTGATGTTCCTCGATGATGGGACCGTGACCTGGATGTGTGAGCCAAATAGACCCTTTTCCTCCTAAGTTGCTTTTGGTCAGAGTGTTTTATCACAGTAACAGAAAAGAAACTAGAGCAGGAATGAAGATTCATTTTGGGAACCATGAGTCAAGATGGTAACTGAGACCCTGCGCATGGATTAGATTTCTGCTGCTGCCAGAACTTTTATAATCAGCATCAAATTCTACACAGGGCACTGCAGTCCTTTTATGATTAACAGAGTACCAATGGCAGAGAGGACACTGCATTAGCAGTTGTGAGACACAACGCTTACCGTGAACTTAAAGTAGCACAGAATACAGCTGTGATTTGACGCAAAACAATCTATGTTCCAATAAGCACCAATTAATTTAACAAATTCACAGTGCTCATTATGCGGCAGATAGTTTTCTAGCTACCCTAGGATGTGGTTCATCAGAAGGTGACCTCAGCGAGTGTAAAAGCGGATTTCATAAGATGATAAAGTCTGACAATGATGGGTTTAGAGAACGCTAAGCAAGGATTTAGTCTCAGGGTTCATAAAGAGGGTGCCTGGAGTGTTCATTCAGCATCTCACGTCTTTACTGGGCGTCTTGTGTCAGTACTGTTGTAGGCACTAGAGCTTTAGCAGTCAACCAAACAAGCCAGAAGGCTTGCTCTCAGTTTATACTTTGATGGGGAAAACACAAGAATTAAAAAAAAAAATCAAAGAAGAGCTTGGCATAGTACCACAAGCCTTTAATCCCAGCAGTCGGAGGTCTGTGAGTTTAAGGCCAGCCTGGTCCTCAGAGCGATCCTGTCTCAAAACAAACAAACAAACAAACAAACAAACAAAAAACAAAAAGAAAATGAAATACTAAGATAGATCAAATGGTGGTAAGTTTTCTAGAGAAAAATAAAGAGTAGTATTCGGGGATTGAGGGCATACTACAATATCAAAGATGTTCTTTAGGAAAAAAGACATTTGAACAAGACTTAAAGCCGATGAGAAAAGAGGAGGCATTTGGCATTGGTAGTACTGGAGATGAGAACAACTTCAGAGGAAGAAGCCAACCTCTCCTCTTCAAAGAGCAGCTAGGAGTCAACATGAATACATGAAAAATAGGAGGTGGAGAACTTGAGAAAAAGAAGAAGGTAGGGGTAGCCAATAATCTAAGGCAGAGCAGAATTTTAGAAGAATTTTGCTTTTATTTTAAGTAGAATGTGAGCTAAAGGGAGCTCAAGGCAGACCGAGCTACTCTGACAGTTAGGGTACTTCAGCTTATGAGTGTGAATGTGGACTCCATTTCTTTCTCTCCCTAAATTTCTTTCTTCATCTGTAAAATAGTGGAGATGACTCTAACCCGTGAGGGTGTTGTGATAATTAGATAGCATATGTGCAAAAACATTTAGCAGTTACTTGACATGGAGTAGGCACATTCTTTCCTCCCTTGTCTTCTTGTTTCCTGGGCCTCCCACCTCCTGCTGGGAGGGAGAGGTAAGGCACAAAGAGTGACAGCTTGCTAGCTGACATCACTTCAGGGTTCTACTGTAACAGTTTCACGGGCGGCTGATGATGTGGCTGTGTGGACAGACTGCCGGGTGGGTGGGTGGGCAGTCATCTGAGCACAGGCCCTGGCTCTCCAGGCCTCCTCGATCGATGGGATTTTTCTCGATGGTGTGTCAATGCAGTCTCAGAGAATGCATGTTTATTTGCCTCCAGGTTTGACTCTGTGGATGGTAGCTGATGAATGAATGTCTTCCCCCTCATGTCCGGAGGGGACTCCCCGGATCTGTCCTGTGGAACAAGAGCAATTCCTACAAACCAGCTCTGCCTGTGGCTTCCGGGGCAAGACAGCCAGCCTGGTCTACACAGAGAGACCCTGTCCCGGTTAGCGACAATGGGAAGGGCCCCTGAGGGGAGCCGCTGAGGTCCGCGCCCGGCTAGGCTGCGCGCGCCCTGAGGAGCCGCGGGCGGCCGCGAGCGAGCGGCGAGGCGGGGCGACCCGAAGCGCGAGCCCGGGGGTCGGGGGGTCCGCGTGGGCCACCGCCTCCTCAGCAGCCGCCGCCGCCGCCGCCGCCGCGCGCGCCGCCGCCGCCGCCCAGCCCCGGCCCCGGCCGCCGCTTCCCGCCCTCGCTCTCCTCGGCCGGGCTCACAGCGCCGCGGCCGCTCCCTCCGCCCCAGCGCGCGCACGCGGGCGCCCGGGCGCGCGGCCGAGGCAGCGCGGAGCGCCGAGCGCATCGATCGGCCTGCTCTCTGGGGCCGCCCGCCCGCCGCCGGGCCCATCGCGCGCTCGGGGCTCGACTCGGCAGGCGGCGGCCGCGGCGGCTGAGGAGGCAGCGCTGTGGCGGCGGCTGAGGCGGCGGAGGAAGGCGGCGGCGGCGGCGGCGGCGGCGGCGGCTCGGCCCGGAGTCCCCGCTCCCGCGCCATTTCGGACCCGGAGCGAGCGTGGCGCGGGCCTGAAGGCGGCGGCGGCGGGAGCCTGAGGCGCGGCGGCTCCGCGGCGCGGAGAGAGGTAGGGCGCGGACGGCGCTCCTGGGCCGCTGCCCGGTGCCGAGCTCGGCGCGGCCGGGCGGGGCCGCGGCGCTGAATGAAGCCGGCTCGGGGAGGCGGGCGCGGGGCGCCGAGGCCGGGCGGCCGCCGCTTCCTGGACGGGGAAGCCTTCCTTCCTCCTCCGGGCCGCGGCCGGCCCTCCGCGCCGCCCCGGCCTCCCCGCCCGGCCTCGGCTGCAGCCGGCATCCGCGCCCGGCTAACTTGTCGGGCGAGCGGGCGAGCGCGCGGGCTCCCCCCGGCCGGGTGCGAGCCCCCGGGGAGGTGGCGGCGGGAAGGGCTCGCAGCCCCGCGGCCCGAGGTCCTGGGGGTTCTCGGGGCGGGGACGGGGGGGGGGATGCATCTGCCGCCGAGTTCGCGACCGCTCCCCTCCCCCACGCATGTGTGGGCCGTGACATTGCCGCGGCCACAAAGGAGGAGGTGGAGGTGGCGACGGTGGTGGCAGAACAGGTGGCCCACGCCCTGCGCGGCAAGCCCGCGACCCGCAGTGAAAAGCAGAAAAGTTAATGCGGCAGGTCTGGGTGGCTTTGTGTGGGGAGGACACGGAGCGACGGCGAGAGCTGAGGCAGGGGGCTATCCCTGAGTGGAGCGCGCGCGGGCAGCTGGGCTCACGGAGCTTCAAGTTTGAATCGCATGCTGCCCTGTCCCCTCTAGCCTTGCGGGTTTTCCGAACCCGGCTCCGGGCTTCATTGTGGCACTCGGGCGGACCCCTGTGAAAGCCTCTCGGGCCGGTGGGTTACAGCCCAAGTCCTGAGCCAGCCTTGGTCAAGCTTGATTTTCATCAAGGCAAGGAGTTAAAAACAGAATGACATGCTGTTTGCCGTGGAAAAATCATCTGAGGAGACATGTTGAAAAGTCGTAATAATCACTTCGGAATTAACCATATGACTTGGTGTCACTCTTCGAGGAAGGGCCAGCCAGATTGCTGACCCCCCATGTGATAGACAATAGACATCAAACATGCTTGGTATCAGTATATTTACTTTGAAACTGTAGCCATCCTCAAGCATCCTTGGTTTTAAGAGGTGGCAGGTAATAATTTAATTTTACACCTTTTTTAAAAAATTAGCAAAATTGTTGGAATCTAGTCCCAGTCACACCCCTTTACTACCTTTTGTAATGGGGGGAGCGTCTTTCTGGCTTCAGCTCTTCTTTGAGTGAGACTTTTTTTTTCTTCTAGTAGACTTAAATATTAGTAGGTTTTAAAACTCTGACTTAAAAATTTTTATTTTCAGCAAAAACTAGTGCATCAGTACGTACCAGGAGATGTGTCTCTAATCATCACACATGTGATCCAATATCTGTTCACGGTATACTAAGTTAGCCAACATTTTAGTCTGTAGGACTTATTTACACCCTTAAACCATTATTGAGGGTCTCAAAAATCCTTTGGGGGGACATAACAGTATTTACCACATTAGAAGAAACAATTTTTAGTTTTCAGTTAATTTAGAACTAGAAATAACATGCCTGTTGGTAACATGGATGCATTTTCAATGAAAAATAATTTTTCTAAAGCAAAATAAGAATTGGAGTGACATTGTTTTGCACATTAGCAACCTGTGTAATTGTATGTCTTCATAGGAGATGATTGTACTCGCTTATACCTGCATCTCATACCTGCATTCTCTTATTGTGACTAGAGCCCAGAAAGCTACCTGCACTTGTAAAAATACAGTAAGAAGGCTAAAAAACAATTGCTATAAAAATAGTTTTAACCTCTTGTTCCCTACACACAAAGTCTTAGGAACCCGTTGGGTTCCTGAATTGCTCTTGTAAACTAGCCACACTATTTGTGGGAGGGAGGGGCAAAGGTCACGTTTCCACATGATTCTTTTCATCTATTTCATTTGCCATGGCCTACATTTGTTATAATACTTGAAGGCCAACAGGTAAGTTATGTTAGTACTGGCTCTCAGGATGGCCCCAGACGAGCAGCGAGAGAGGATAGGTGGGGTAGAGCAGGACAGGGAGTTGGATGAAGGGCTGGGAACAGTGTTTTCTGACCTTGTTTCTGTTATCGAGGGGCTCAGGCACAAGGTGAGGAGGACAATATGTTGGAAAAACAGCTACATTTTCCCCCCTTGGTACCTGGGTGAATAATTCTTGTTCATCAATTAAGTAGACTGTGTATTTTGTGTTTATTTACACTGTATACACATACATTGATCTGGAACTATTTATTCTGTAATAATGTGGCTTTACTCCCATTCTTTTACAGCTATGCCCCTTTATTTGTAATAATATGTATTATATAAGGGAAAGGAGAGAAAATGAATGTCTTCATGTAATAGTGACTAAAAAAATAACAGATCTTTTCTGTTTGGGAATTATTAACTGTACAAGTTGCCAGTACTTACTACACCTATTGGGAGACAGTGTACTGTAAGCAGAGTAAAAGTTGCAGAGGTTACTGAGAAACTCTTTACATCTTTCACATTTTTTTTCTTGCCAAAAGTAGTGTTTATTTCTGAATTTCACTCTATTTTTCTTGTGCAGAGGTAACTGTTTTTTAATACTCATAATAGGATTATATGTTATAATTGATCTGATGAGTTATACCAAATAGTTGATCCCACATCCTTAAAACTCCTACTTTTTACCTTTGTTTTCCCCACAGGTACCTTAAAGATGAAAATGCCATCAAATATTATCTTTATTTGTCTCGTTGCCTAGGTTTTTCTTTCCCCACAATTCAGTTTTGACACCAGACTCCTGTTTTGTTGCCTGTCATGAAAGAACTGTTCCGATGGCTTTAAAACAGAATTCTGCAACTGTTGGCTCCAACAGAGATGCTCTTAGGCTACCTACTTCTAACTTTTAATATCCATTCAACCAGGAATACTGCAAGGGTGGATGTGGGGATCGCTGTCAGCAAGCTTATGCGGGTGTGTCCACAGGGTATAGAGCGCTGTGCAGACACTTGTACTTAGTGAAGTCACAATACATTCCTTTGAGAGCCATTAGCTGCTACAAAACAGCAATCTGGCTGTTTGATCAAACACGCTGGATGAATATAGGATGAAAGAACTGGTTTCCCTGTATTTTTATGAAGTGTTGATGAGGGGAGTTGTAAATAAGTACACCTTACTCCTGTGTACATCTGCAGTCACTGTATTTCAGAATACCTTAGAGTTTTACATAAAATGGTGAGTGTTAAAATACTGATAGAGTGTTTGATAATCTTGTGTGAGACATGTTCTAATTTAGTTACATTTTTATTATTTTTATTATAAGGCCTGCTGAAAATGACTGAGTATAAACTTGTGGTAGTTGGAGCTGGTGGCGTAGGCAAGAGTGCCTTGACGATACAGCTAATTCAGAATCACTTTGTGGATGAATATGATCCTACGATAGAGGTAAATCTTGCTTTATATTCTACATATGGTTTGTGCAGAACGATCATCCCTTGCATAAAAGAGATACCTCTGATCATTTTTGTATTTATTAGAAAATTATACTGAAATTTATTTCAATTATATGTGATGTCCTTTAGTTTTAAGACTTTAAACTGAGTGATAGGTAACCATAGATGCAAAGAGCCCTACTTCTTTCAAGAGAGTGTCACAGAGAATAAGGTCTAAGGTGCCCACTGTGTCCTTGTATTTGGTAAGTATATTTCATGGTTTTGTGAGAATATAGCTTTGCATTTGAGCTGTATCTGCAGGGTTTTTTGTTGTTGTTTTGGTATTTTTGAGTCAGGGTCTCGCTATGTAGCTATGACTGCCCTAGAACTCACTGCATACTATGTAGACCAGGCCAGCTTTGAATTCACAGAGATACATCCACCTGCCTTGCCTGCCTTTTCTGCCTCCCAAATGCAGGGATTAAAGATGTGTACCACCATGCCTAGTGCAAGTTATTTTTTTGAATGCATTTTATTTTTATGGGTTTCTTAGAATTTTGCTGTGATGGTGAAAATTGGATTATACTAGAAAAATAGAATCATTTGATGGTTGAGTTTTTTAAACTTAATATAGTTTGATGAGTAAGATCTTCAGAATTATTTTCAGATATTTTTTATTCCATAAACTCTTAACCAATTAAAGGTCAACTGCTAAATAATAAAATTAAAACCTGAAAGAGATCTTGAAAAATCAGGTAGTATGTCCTATTGCTGGCAATAGCAAAGAAGGGTTTATTCAACCTCTGAGACCAGCAGGAGGGGCTTTTCTTTAACTGTTTTTGTTAGCTCATTTTTCACAAGGTTATTCAGACATTTATGTGTGATCTAAATATATTAAATTAACATCAGTGAAGCAAGAAGTAAATGTTATCTTGCCTTTGAAATAGCCTTTACTGTTAGACTATTTCTTAGACATCTTTACTGCAGTGTGTGGACTTCCCAGTCCAGCTTTTATTCTTTGTTCTAATTTTCCATTTCTAGTTTTTTGAGGTAGGTGCTAATGTACTCTGAGGTGGGCCTTCAGTTAGCTGAGGCCTAGCATGGAGTCATGGTCCTCCCTCCAGCTTCCACCTCTTGAGTGGCCGATGTGCCTCCATGCTCCAGCAAGGCTGTGCTGGGGAGTCAAACCCAGGGCTTGTGGTATGCTAGGCGATCTTCTACCCTCTTTATCCCTCTTTCATGTACCAATTTAAAAAGAAAAATCAGTTCTGAAGAATTTTGTAGAGCATTGGAATCATAAGCTATGAAATCTCAAGTAGGTCACTGTACTGTTATGGGTCTCTCTGTGTCTTGAAGAAACACTGTGCTGAGATGGGTTTTGAGGGCATTGGTGAGCTTGGAAAAATGTTTATGTAACTTAAAACATTGAAGGTTGATTAAAGGACTGTTCGAAAGTGTCAAATAATTTTAGTAGTGCACCACCCTCCAAAAAATAGAGCAGAGAGCCGGGCAGTGGTGTGCCCGCCTTTAGTCCTAGCACTCGGGAGGAAGAGGCAGGTGAATGTCTGTGAGTTCGAGGCTAGCCTGGTCTACAAAGTGAGTTCCAAGACAGCTAGGACTGCTACACAGAGAAACCTTGTCTCAAAAACTAAAACAAACAAACAGAGCAGAATGCTCATTTGTAAAGATTTGACTTAAGCATAGAAAGACTTTTATTTGGTTTCCAGTTTAAGAAGTTGCATCGGTGAAGTAGAATCCTGTGTATTATTTATTCTTTTACATTTATTTTGACAAGTCAGTTCAGGGCTGTACGTAGTTCTGCTTTTTTCTTTGAGGAAGATCAAAAAGTTCACCCGTTTTGATTGGTATTCTAAATCCACAGTTACTTGGTATGTTCTACCATTTAAATCAAATGTAAAAGGAAGTTTTAATAGAATACATGTGATGTGTGGAAGTTTTCCTGGGATTTGGAAGATGATTTCAACAGAAGTAATCATCTTCCTTGAAAATCTAGGCGATTGCATTGTGCTTTCTCCTGTCAGGTCCTAAAGCTTCATGAATATAGATACACAGAACGAGGTCAGAAATGTAGGCTAAAATAGGAAACCTTTAGCTCAGACTTGCTAACAATCCATTATGTACAAGGAAGGTAGACAAGGTTTCCAAATGTAAATTCCTCACTCTGAGTATGATTTCTGCCAAGCCAGAAGACTTGACTCTGGGGAGCACTGATACCCTGTGAACTTTGAAACTGACATCCCCAGGTAGTTAGCCATCTGGAGACAAGTATCAGAGATCACCTTTATCTCACAAGCTGTGGTGAGTCTCGAGGAAACTGACAAGGTAGTTTCTTTGGGTAGTTCATCTATGAGAAAGGCAAAAGAGCTTAAAGAGACTTGGTTAAATAAAAATGCCAGCTTCACACCATTACCAAAAGTTTTCATTGATGAAAAATGTGGTCAGAGAAAATTCATGGGAGCCTGGGTCTGGTGGCAGATACTACTCTGAGGCGGGAGGATTTCCAGTTCAAGACCTGCCTGGGTTACAGATTAGGTGCAAGGACAGCCTGGGCAACGTAGTGAGACCCTATCTTAAAGTGAAAAATAAAAGAAGGGCTAGGGAGGAAGTGCTTGTACTTTTGAAATTCCATTAGTTTCTCTACTGTAAAAAAAAAAAAAATGGCAAGTCTTTTAAAAATTTAAATGATAAAATCACTAAATTTTATTTTAGTGACTTAGACTTTGTAAAAAAATTGATTTTTATCTATGAACTTGGGAGGTATTCTAATTGGCCTAAGGATGTTTAGCTATTTAGTGGTAAGACTGAATTTAAATTTTCTGAAAACAAGTGATATTTCCACTATTGTATTTTTGTTGTTGCTTTTTGGGTTTTTTCTTTCTTTCTAGACAGGGTTTCAAAAAAACTCGTTAGTTGTTTTTTGTGTGTGTTTTTTGTGTTTTTACCAATAGATACAATCTGTGATTATATCAGTTTATAAATCTATATACACAGGGTTTCTCTGTGTATCCGTAGCTGTCCCGGAATTCACTCTGTAGACTAGGCCGGCCTCAAACTCAGAGATTCACCTGCCTCTGCCTCTAGAGTGCTGGGATTAAGGGTGTGTGCCACTGCCACCTGACTACTATGGTATTTTTTAAAAGTAAGAAAGTAGCTGTTTTTCCAACTAAGAAAATGTTTAATAATCTTCTAGATTATTCATCAGTATACTGTGACTTGAATTTAATTTACTAATGACAGCCTAGATACATAATGGAGAACTACATAGGTGTGACCCTAGACCATATTAACATTGGAGACAATATACATGAGGATCACTTTGACTTCTGTTCTGAAATATTTTTATTTTTCATGAAGTCCACTAAAGTTCTTCAAAGAAATAATTATCTTGTTAGAGGGACATGGTTATTACAGTCTCATAAGAAGTCCCCAAACAATACTCAACTAGAAATAGCAAAGAATGAACTAGCCAGCATATCAGTTCTGAGATTAAATAAAGCCTGTGTGCTACATATAGCTTTAAACTTTGCTCAGACTATCAGATTCATGCCCCAGTGGTAACTTTTATTTTGGTTTTCAAGTATGACATAGAATTAAGTTCACCTTTTGTAAAGTTAAGTTGCTATGCATTGTTATTTTACTCTAAAGTTGACTAAAACACTTTGACTTGAAAATAGTTTTATTTTAAAAGCAGTTTTGTTTAAAGCTGTGACCAGCTCTTCTCCCTTTTGTGAGTGCCCTCTACTGGTAACTTACTTGCTTTTATAATAAATAACAATGAAAGCTCAAGCTTGTTGTTTTTTACTATAGATACAACCTGTGATTATATCAGTTTATAAATGTATCAACTTTACTTGGGTGTCTTATATGTAATTAATAGCTTTACTTTTTTTACATGGGTTTTACTCTGCTAACACTGATACAGAGATTACTTTGTATATTATGTAGGCTTAGCTAAGTAGATGAAATATGTACGAGAGGAAAGGAGACCGAATAGGAGAGCAGACTGCATTTCCCTGTGAGCCCTGGTGGGCTTAACTTGTTGGATGAAAGGACTAAAAGCTGCAGCGTGCTCTGAATTTACCTCCTTGTGCTCTGGGGCCACTGCGTGGACTTTGAAGCATTGTGTGTCAACAAAGGGTTCTAGGAAGGGCTTGTTCAAAATGACAAACAGAAGGTTCCCGTTTTGTAGACTAGTTGTCTAACTAGAAAAACCAAAAAATTCAGGCAGTGTTTTTAGATCAGTGTTGAGTATTTACTTAGTATTTATTTAGACCTGAATTTCAAAAATTTATTGGCTGTGTATCTGAGATTCTTATGACTAGGTTTTAAGAAAACCTGGAATTCCTTAATTCATAAAATATTATTCAAAGCTCACTTTGTCCCATGAAGTTTTCCTGAGGATTGGAGAAACATTAAGGAGCCAGAAGGCTAGATCCTTCCCTTCATGGATCTGTTCATTTTATGTGTATTTTTAGGAGGAGAATTTAAGTTAGTGATCCAAGACTGTCCTTTGAGAGCGTTAGTCTCTTACCTCTGTGCTGGGATGTCGCTCCTTGGTAGAGTTCTTAGCTGGCATGGGTGCCGGGAACTGAACTCAGGTCTTCTGCATGACCAGTATATGCTATTAATTGCTGAGCAACCCAGACCCTATTATTGTGATTTTAATTTAATAAAGTTAGTAGTAATGAATAGTGATTAAATACTGAGAGAGTTAGTGATGGATAATGCCTTAGATAATGTTTTCAACTTTTAATTTTGAAAATTTCAGACCAATGAAGTCCATCATGAAGGGAAGTCAAGGCAGGAACTCAAGGCAGGGACCGAAGCAAAGGTCATGGAGGAATGGTGCTTACTGGCTTGCTCTCCATGGCTGGCTAAGCGTACCTGCTTACTCAGGTCTGGACTTCCTGCTCATGGTGACACCACTCAGAGAGGGCTGGACCCTCCCACATCAGTCATCATTCTGGCTTACAGGCCTATAGCAGGAATCTC